GGTGGATCTCGTCAGTTGCCGATTAACTATATAGACTGGTAGAGATTCGTTCTCGGTATCAGTCGGGAATTTTGCTTCCTATCCAGGCGAACCTCTCGCAGATAGCCAAGATGCCGATGTGGCCGCCGATGAATAAGAAGAGGATGGCATTTTGCCCGAAATCCTCTTTTTCGGCCTCCCAACATGCAAGCCACACTCCATGCTTTTACCCTTCTTTCACAGAAGTACACAACCAGTGACGTCACAGGGCTGTTTTGGCCGCGCCAACATGGCCGCCAATTTTGATCTCAGTCTGTCAACTTCGAATGCTTAAAAATGTACTTTCCGGTATGCGTTGGTCCAAAAAAAGTACACAGCGTTTGCAAATAACGTTCAAACTCTATTATATTGCAAAAATCTCGGATATGAAAATTACGTTTCAGTAGCACTTTAAACATAAACTGACCTTCAATAACATTAGAGTAGTGTTTAAGCCCTTGACAATTAAAAACAACAACCAAACATCGATCACAAATCAATTAGAAGAAAGCAAAATATCGTTACCTTTCCCAGAGCTATAGCAGTAGCGGCTAGTCCAATAAGACCTCCCTTTCTTGAGTGATTGTTGTGTGAAACTGCAAATTCTTCAGCGAGCACAGCAGTCAGTCGTTTAATTTGCCTCACATCATTACTAGCCACAAATTCTTTTACCATTCTAAAGCAATTGAACAGAAGAATTCACGACGAGGAAGCAAAGAAAAAACAAACATTTCAACAAGTGAGAAAGGTACCTCATTTGCAAACATTTTAGCGGAGCGCCTCACCTGATCGGCGAACTAAAGTTTAGTTTGTTACGATTTCCCTCTTTGCAGAGGTACACAGCACATAAATAAACGAAAATTGAGTAAGAGATATCCAAAAATAATCACGCGATTTGACGACTCACAACAAGATCACAACTACGAGTACGCCTGTTCCCTAAAAACAGGTCATGACTTCACATGCTCACCGCTCAATTTCTAACGCCGCTGTTTTACGTTTATCGTAAAGCTTATCGTTCAAACCACGAACAACATTCTGTGTCAACGGTTGAAAGTCCTTTTCCGCCATTACAGCGAGGAATTGGACCACATCTAGGCGATTTCTCCTGCTGAGTAATCGACATAGAAAAGAGAAAGATCTCTGCAGCGAATGCTCGCCCCAGTCTATTTTGATTTAATATCATTTAAACCTGCACATGGTGTCCCCGTATCTGTCCCACTACATTTTTTTTTTTTTTTTTTTTTTTTTGAGCTTTATATCTTTTCGATAGAGTCGTATTTCGTAATTTCCAGCTTTGAAATTTCTCTGAATTCGGTTTTTTCAGATATGCTAAACTATCATGAATCATAAATCAGTGAAGTCTAGTATCTAAACAATTTTGTTCTTGCGTGACCTAGCTTCGGGTCGGTTCAGCTCACAAAGCATCCATGCAATGTCTGTATAGTGTTGCACCAGAAACGGGGAAGCCTTTTCATTCCATGCCACTGAAAAAAACACAAATACTACGAGAGCTCCAGTGCCTTTAGTAAGAATTTTCTCTCTCTCTCGAAAGAGTTAAATACGTGCTAATTATAGCGGGTAAAAGTTACAAAAAAAAGAGTCCCGCAAAGCTGGAAGCAGGGGGTAAACAGAGCTAGCTCTCCAGGTGTTTAGGATAAAAGTGACTCCGCCTATTTTTTATATTCATATGCGAAAAAGGTTAGTTTTGAAGTTTTTCTATTATGAATTGGTCCACATGAATGGATTATAAACCTTGCCGTCTAAAATCATCATCATCAAGACAACTTTGTGTAGTTCTCTTGTTTCTCTACTACGGACGCAATTTTTCCAACACTTGGTATACCACGGAAAAATTTCAAGTTTACAACCCTTGAAGAAAATCTGGATAAAGAACCACGAACAACATCTGGGCAAACTTCAGCAACAACAACAACCACACACAAAAGTTCAAACTGTGGAAAGACTAACCCTACCCCCCTCCCTCTCCCCTTTTTTTCTCTGATTTTAGGAGTGTTTTTTAGAGGGTATGTGGTAAGTGGAGGATGTGTGGGGGTGGGGGGACATATTTTCGTAGAGAAAAATTAAAGACGACATTCCGGGTGAGTCTGTGATTAACATTTGACTTTACCTCTTTTTCTCAACTTATTAGTCGGGTTACATTGAACAGTAAAATCGAGTTTGTAAGATCATCTCAACACACCGATCGAAATACGTCGGCTCAGGAAATTCATGGATATTCTGCGAATCCTACATTGCTTACAAACGCGAAACTTTTCTTGAAGAAAAAGAAAACAATTACTACAACAACAATAACAAAAAAGACAGTATATTTCATCTTTAAGCGGAAGAGGTTCTTTGTTGAACTGTACACGCGCAAAACTTTTTGAAACCGGCTTCTACGGAGGTCGTAGATAGGCCAATATCTGAACTATTCATTGACCACACAATTAACGGGAAGACTGCGGTTTGCATGCCATTATTCAGTTCCACTTTGTTCTCTTCGCCCTGTTGTGGAAATTGCAATCTTTGTTGCGGCCATAAGCATAAAGTTTTAGCCTGCAGGCACAGAAAATACAGATACCCAATCTCGTTGTCGAGGGGCTTAATCGCTCTACCGTGTGAATTTTAGACTCTAAACAACAATTCAAAATTCATAGAAATGTTGCAAGTTCACAGACATTTATTATCCTCTCTAAACGAGTGATTCGTCGAAAATAGAGAGAAAGTTAAAAAAACGGCACTAGCCACTGAGCAATTTTCAGCGATTTGAAGGCACAAAATTGATTTGTTTCCAAGAATCAGATATGACGAGATATGAATGAAGCGAAATTGAGCATGTTATTTTGAACGACCTTGTTTTCTTTATTTCAAGCTCTTTTGGTTACCCCAGCCCCTAATTCGATTAGCACCTCTTGACTGGTGCTGAGCTATCGCTGACACGTGTTGTAATTCGCGAACGTAACAATACAAAATACCCATTATCTTCGTTTGTGTGAGCCAATGATTACTTAATAAACATAGCAAGTAAAGTGAAACGCGAACATCACGTAGTCACGCAAACTGCTCGAGGCCAATATACACGCGGCTGAATTTTAATAAGATACGTCGTACAGCGGAACTCTTAATTTCACGAGTGGCATTTTAATTTAAGCGAATTTTCCACGGAAACTTTGCACAGAAATGGCCAACTGTCCTGCTATGCAGGTTGACGAAGACTCTCCAGCTGTACCGATGTCAAGCAGGGAAGCCGAGGCAGTCCATGAGTATGGGAAAACGTACGCACGGAAATATTCTGACTTCAGGGATGATCAAGCCACTGTTTGGACAAGCATGTACGAGAAGAACCTTGGGAGGAAAGTCAGCCGCTTGCCGCCATGGGAAGTCTCTGAGACAGGTCGAAAAGAGAGTGGCGAGAGGCATTTCGGCGACCCGACCAAGAAAGACTTCGCTTCGGTTATGCTGGAGAGAGCGGCAGAGGCCGGTGCTCTGAGCCACAAGACACATTTTGAGACTGCGGAGCATCGGCGGGAGAGGAGAAAAGTAAAAAAAGCAAGAAGTGAGAGCGAATCGAGCAAGGAAGGAGGGGAAGGGAAAAAAGACAAAGAGAGGAACGCACGGACGTCCTCGCTTTGCGAGTATGATGATGTAAACGCTGAAAACACCACCGGAAAAGAGTAGCTGAACCTGAACCATGAACAAAATACACACAAATCTCTTAGGTTCTCTCTGCTGTCCTTGAACTCGGAAATTAAGGTATTTGAGCTTGATTAAAGCTGCCACAAATGCTTGATTTTGCTCGCTGAATGCACACGACTGAATATGGAATTTTATTCAGACGAGAGCTAATTGAAAGTGTGTTAATTCATGAACGTTTCATCGCGAATGCCAGGTGGGAGAATCGATTTCATCGGCTGCTCGAGAAATCGCGTCAAGTTTATAATCGTGTTTAAATTGGCAACGCTGTGAGTCTTCATTCAATGTACATTTTTATAACTAAATAATAGCGTTTTCATAGATGTAGATTTTAGTTAGTTGATTTGAAGAAAGTGTTATTCATTTCTTGATAAGTTGCTGTATTTAATTAAACCTAATGGATAGTTACATCTACTTCACGTCGCGTGTAAAACAGTCGAAGTGACCTTTATGACGAGACAAAAGCTTTCAAAGTACAAAGCAAACACCTGCAGAATTTTTATATTTGAGCGAAGGAAAAAGTTTTCTTTCTTAAATACCTCATCGACCTCATTGTGAATTTATTTGTCAATATTTCCGTAGCGTGACTGCAGTGTGTTATTTCGCCTCCATGAGCAACAGCTTCAGTATTAAGCGGCGTTCATTGAATGAGTCAGAATATGATAAGACTATTCCGATTTTCGCGACAAACCTTGTGAATGGAAGTATTAGTTGTAAATTGATTGGACATATTAGAGCTGTATAATTAGAAGCTGTTCTGAGTTCGTTCATTGCTTTCAAAGCTCGGCTATTCCGTGATCCTGCGATTGCTCCAGTTTCCACTGAAACTTATCGCGGTTTTCTGTCAAAACTCTTGGCTCAAAAGCGCGCGAAGGTATCCCAATAAATTAAGCTGGTTGACTCAATTACAATTTTATAAGACTCTGCTTGTCGCTCACAAATACAACAGTTCCTGAACTTCGCCGTTGTTGCCTAGATTTAGGAAAGGTTTTATTTCAAATGTAACGAAAAGCTCTGTTTCACGGAAAGCATTTACTATTAGTCTTGAAAGCTTCCTAAACGGAGCTTCGACGCACGTGAGTACTGAGACTTTTCAAGGCTTGTTGCGACACGCTGTGAACCGATGGACTTGTAATGATCGCAGGGCCGTGCGAACCACTAAAAAAATACTCGTTATCCCTTATTTACTCGTACTTAGTTTTATCAAGGGCTCGTTTTTTATTTCAAACAATATTCGAAATAATATTGCCTAAGGGGTGCGTTTGGCAAACAACATGTAAGTGCCTTTAAGTTTAATTATGCACAAGCTAAGTGAAGGTCAAGAGAGGTCCAACCTTTATTACGAGATTCATTAAATCTGTTAATTACCTTAACTTCCTATCAAAACGTGAAGTCTTTGCTTCGTGTTGTTATATTCTGGAAGAAAAAACTGACAAATTGCATAAACAGGATGTGGTATCGAAGTCAAGAAAGTTCGCAATTCAATTGCCATCTTATTTTTAGCCGTTCATGCGAGATCGATTAAGCAGGAGGTCAAATTCACCGGAGACTAGACACTTCCTGTTCCTCTGCAACTCCACCAAAAGTCACCTTTGATCGAAAAAACCTAAACCAATCTACAACGAACATTGCACAGACCGTCATAAGACCTTAGATAGTGAAGACTGTCTCTCTTCAGTGTACGTTCGAAGTAACAGTAATGCTCTTACTAATCACTTTTCAGCCATTATCATTGTTTGGTGAACACGGAGCATGAACTTTAGATTCTGAAACACACTTGTGATCTGACCTTTAGAAGGATTACAGCCGGACTGCGGACTAGTTTGATTAAAGTATTGAAACACCGTGTGCTTGTTATTCAAAACTAGCCTCTCAGAAATTGATATAACTTGATTCTTTATGTTTTTTGTGCAAGATTCTGCCGTGATGATGATTTCGAGGTTGTTGAAGGAGCAGTGTAACAAGGTCAGGAGATATCACAGGATGTATCTATCAAACTAGCCAAATTACTAATGAACACGATTCATTAAGGCTGATAGTTTCTAAAGAAACTGTTTGGCGCTGCGTCGGTGAGGGCAACGAAATAATTTGAACATATCAACAAAGTTGAAATGGTAAATTGACCACCGTTACGGTTATAAAAGCTGACGTTTCGAGCGTTAGGCCTTCGTCGGAGCGAATGACAAAGGGCTAACGCTCGAAACGTCAGCTTTTATAACCGTAACGGTGGCCAATTTACCATTTCAACTTTGTTGATATATTCAAATTACTTGATTAATTAGTTCATTAGCTGATAATCATCATTAATTTTGGCAACTTCTTGTTTGGGCAGTCTTAGCCTATATAAACTCAAGTTCTAAACACAGCTTACAAATAATAGATGTCTTCAGCTCAAATTCTTAAAACATTGAATCGTTTATAAAATTAAGATGAAAAAACTCCAACGGATATTTATGACAATGTTTGAATTTGGAACGGAGAACAATGATTCGTATGATATGATTAATTGGTAAGTTTCTTTTGTGCAATGATAATTTCAGTATTCTGGGGGTAATTTTGACCGGTAATAATTTTTCCTTTCACAGTACGAGGGAAACTTTCTTTCACTAGCCTGAGAACATTCAAAGATCTCCTCACTGATTCAGAGTCCAATACGGAAAGAAGGAAGTAATTAGGCTCTAGTAATTAGTCTTGGTACAAAAAATTGAACAAAAAGTCTCACGCAGAAAATTCGCAAGGTCTGTTTGCCTTCTTAAAAGCTTCCCACAGTATACCTCTTCCTTTTATTCAATATTTCTCCATAGAGATTTAGGAAGGAAGTAAATAACACCGTGTGATATAAGCGCAACAAGTAACGAATTCGAGTTAGTGTTCTCTAATTTATAATGCAGATGAAATTTTTTTCAAAGCTAAACAAAGGTTACTGATTTAGTTTCATTTTCGTAACACTATTAAAAGCAAGTAATTTTTCAACCAGTCACGTTGTCCAATGAACACAGCCGATAAGTCCTCAGCAGTTGGTACGACGAGGACTGGAGTAACTATTCAGCGTATGAAAAACCAAGAGTTGACTCATGCATGTTGTTCCCTAATTCTACTATGCCTCCAATTTACCTTTATTCAAGTTTGAAATTCATCTTTAAGAGCGTTGGCTCGTGACATAAACCTTGGAGGCAGTTACAAGAAGGAAGCATTTGCCAGGTGCTTAAGAATCCGTCGCGAAGCGATTGCTGAACCCTCTTCTTCTACTCTGTCGATCCGAGTGCCTTCAATCTAAATCTTCTTCTCTCGAGTTAGCACCTAAGTACTTTTATCAAGTTAACCATTGTACCTCAGGATGACTGAGCTCTTTAAAGTATCGTGAACATATCCTCAGTCTTTAACAATTTGGCTAATAAACCTAACCAATTTCTCCATCGCAAATGGTCTTAGTCCACAAACATAAGCTCAAGCAGAAAATTCAAACAGCAGCCACTACGTTGGGAACCACGAGCTCCACTGGGACAAGCGATGGTTTGATCATTCCCGTCGACATAACTCGTCGCTCAGCCCAACTGCTAATCTTTGTCTTCCCTCTTTCCGTTTGCATTGCACTATAAGCAATCGTACCCGCCATAGCAAGTTCCACGGAGCGAAAGCTCGACTGAAAAGCAAGCCACGGCCATGGAGAAGGATGGACAGCTTTGCTGTACATACCGTAAACACCTAGCATGGAATAGAACTGCAACCCACACACGGCAAGGCCTAGGAAACTCGTACCAAGTGTAATCTTTGCCACTTTTGTCGTACTGGTCTTGCTTGTCGTACCCAGTGAAGGACGTGCATTACTCTCCATAGCAATAAGCTGCCGCTGAACGTTCTCTACACTGTTCATGACACGGCATCCGCTGTAGATGAAGCTACCGGATAGAAACAAACCCCAGATGATGAAGAATGACTGACACACGATCAGAAGAAAGTCCAACTCTGGTTTTATGGACGCTGATGTCTCTGCGATGAAAACGATGATGAAGTGTAGGAAAATGACACCAGATAAAAATTTCACATTCTGCAACTTGCTCGGGACGATCTGCATTTTAGTGACTTCAAGAAAAGCAAGATGAATCAGGGAAAACGCTGATGTCAGACAAGGGTAAGCGATTCCGAAGAGAAGTAGCGTCAACCATTTTGGATCTTCGATACCATTTTGTCTCGACTCGTAGGGATCTAACAACAGATACACGGATCTAGTTGATCCTAAGCCGAACAGCAACAAGTTAATGGCAATGAAAAAAGGCTTTGAACCGAATCCTTTTCTACGGTTAGCGAAAGCTACGGCAATGAATGCGTAAATGGCCAGTACACCAAATAAGATGCCAAACCCAATCCAGTGTAGTTCCCATGCCCAGTCCCAAATTCTCCTTGCAACTGGCCAATCAGGACCCGGTTCAGGCAAGGTTTCCGTGAGCACCTCATTGGTGTCGTTTGTCACTGTTGAGCCTGACATCACCTAATAAGAAATTTTACTTTTTATTGAACTTTGAAGGAGTCCAATCAAAAAAAAAAAAAAAACAGAACTATATATATCGAAATTGAAGATTGGAATTGAGTCAAAGGTGGTTTGAATATCAGGTATTTTTGCTTGAACTTACAAAAATTGCAAATAACGGACGCAAAGATAAGTGTATCATTGTTTGATATTCTAGAAATTAGTTTTTGCCAACTTCCAGTAGGTTTTTAGAGTTGTTGCTGTGAAGTGCTGAGTAGCATTATCTTCAACGTGAAGTCAATCAGAAAATTTTAGTTTGGTTAGGTAAAAAAAAAAAAAACACCAAAATGGGAGTGAAACCGATACAGAGCAAGAATTCTTTAAGGATCGAAAAGATTGAATGTACTTTCAAATCGGACAAACTTTAATTTTTTGCACAAACTGCTTGACGCTGATCCCTCAATTGTTAACAGAGCGTGATGAAGCATTTTCAAAAAGGCGGATATCTCCAGCTACCAGCAGCTGAAAAAAACTCTTTATTCAATTTTCACAGCTCACCTGGGAAAAATGACTTCCGGATGCGCAAAGACTCCCTCAGCATGAACTTCGAGAAAGGCATAAAAAAAAATTAACTGATTTAGAACAGTATTTTCTTTAAATCATGGCGATCTTGCCGTTGCATTAAAAGAAATACCCATTTTTTTTTCCGGCGCTCTAGACTCCTGTTATAAAGTAGCTATATGTTCTGTCAGCATTTTGAAACGTCGAAGCAAAAAATTGCATATTTAAGATGACGATTCGTAATCCTTTCTCAGCGAGGAACTCGAACTTTTAAAGAGCTTTTTTCGCTGATATTTTTCACACTGGTTGACTGCACTTAGTTGTGGTCTTAGTTACCCATGGCCATCATCTTTCCTATATGTTTCAGAAGTGGTTATCTACTTTTACGTTTACAAGTTTTGAAGGGGCTCCAAAAATGACCCATAGCATAGGTTAACAGGATGTTCATGGTAAGAGCAAAATGGCAAACCTTTTTCCGGGAAAAATTTGACCTCAGTCTTGCTGTCTGCTTTGAGCTGTTTGTACAATGCTGAAAAAAATGATCTGCCTCAACAAGAAATTTTTCTCAATTTTTTCCACTGTTATATTTGAACCGCTTTCTATGAGCAAATGAATCCAAAGAATACTCTGAGCTCTCCTCAGTACTTACCACCCTAAAAATTCTGCGACTCTGATATTTCTACGGAAAAAACCAGCTGATAGAGTGGGTGTCATCAAGCATAGTGATATCATTTACCGGTTGAGTCAGTTCCTATTTTAATCATATTTCTATTCTCCTGGGATGTTGAGGGCTGATGCATCATGGGATGTAGGCTATAAATAAAGCTGAGCACCAAGACAGTAGAGTTTCAATTGAATATTTCACTGCCCTTGAAGGATATCTCTCCCCAAAGATATAATTATTATCACTAGAACAATTCAGGGCGGGGAAACAAGATAAGAGGTGACAATGTAAAAGTTAACTAGATTTTCAAGACTTCATTCTTTACTATGCACAAACAAAAAGACACGAAAAATATTTTGATATTGGCCCACTGCGCTCGCCCCATTACCTATCAACTTTGTTCCCTGATTAAATAATTCACCTCACGTCTCGACTTCCATGCAATATAACGACCTCCATGCTATAGAACAATTTTCAGTGGGAGAGCGGTTAAAATGATTAATTTTCGCATTGCATGTTACAATCCCATGGAATAACATAACTAACAAATGACTATATTCCTTAACCGCTCTAAAAAAAATTTATTGAAACGACTTCTAGGAATGATATACCTCAGGACGAGCCGAAAAAGCAATTTCCTTAATTTCAGGCGATACTGAAACATTTTAATTAAGTTTAATCTCTCAAGACGCAGTGTGCGTTAAAAACTTGGATAGAGTCACTCTCTGACGAAAACTCATTATCATATATGATATTCAAACAGTTAGATTTCATGGAACAGGTGCCAAGTCAAATAAAATTTAATAAAGTGAAACTTCGGATCCGTCAGATTATGATCACTAAGTTATAGGCTGTGTCGTTAAAATTAGGACGGGGAGACAAAGAGGACTCTACCAACAGAAATTAAAGGGAAGGTTCTTCTTCTTAAAGTATAACGGTCGTCATATTTCGCGTTTTATGGTACACGATTCAATTCTGTTAAATAAGATGATTGACGCTCGTGTTAAAAATGACATGGCTCATCACACACAGGTGGAACAATTTGGAATCCTTAATTACTACCCAGCAGAATCTCAAAATAACTTTAACCAAATATTTTATTCGTACCTAAGACCCTACAAGTTAAGTGTTTAAGACGGGGCTAAGATATTATAAAAAAATAGCAAACCATGGCAATAGTTAAAACAAAGGAAGTACTTTTTCCTTACAAATACAAAAGCACTATCGATCGTTGATAATTTCAGGAGAAATACCAGGTTCTATAAAATTATAAATTTCTTGTGTCAAAATTAGTGTTAAGATGGTATCTGCGCTCTAGCAAATAGAGGTGCTATCCCGGATAGGAAAGTAAGACTCAAATGAAGTTGCCAGCTCTCCTGTGGGAATTCCAACCCTCAGCATTCCCGGATGTTCTCGCATTCAGATAAAAGTACCAACGAGCCACAGAGCGGAACTCTTTCACGAGCCAGGCTTTTCTAGAACCAGCAACTTCAAAAGTGTCCGTGTGGGTATAGAGTTAAAATCTTAATCGTTTCGTATATAAAGTGTTACTTTTTCTCAAATGACGCCGGATAGGTCGAGAATATTTGAGGAAACATGCAGAAGCTATTTTGATTATTCTATACCTGTCCTTCTCTTCGATGATGAGAATCCAGCGTTAAGCTCACCAAATAATTATATTACGCCGATGAATTAGTTTATCGTGACTTCTATGCAAAATATACTTTGCTGTGGACTTATTTGCTTTGCTTAATGCACTTTTTGATGACTTTTACAGACTAGCATAAAATATCGGCGGCACCCTAGTTCAGGTAAAATATTATTCAATGTAACAGATTCAGTACTGTGACTTAATAACTGATTCCTTGAGACACTATGCTTTCATTACTTTCAGCTTCTCATTTTTTGATTTGAACTTATTTCATGACAGACTTCAGTTGATCTTTTGAGTTTCCTCGCTTTGAAATGCTATTCCTAGCTAGCGCTCGATCATTAGAAGTTCTTACCTCATCAAATGATTCAAGTCTTACATTTCCATCTGAAGACAGCGTGTTTTACTGCACACAAATGCAGATGCTGTTCGTATCTTCTTTGAAGACTGTTTTTCTTTCTTTCTGGTTCGTTTCTTATGACTTGAAAAACTTCAATATTGATTGTGATAATGATTCCATCTGCACGGTTTGAAATTCCTGTCATCCCATTTTTTTTATCTACTTGATAAATATTCGTTCCGAACTGCTACGCTTTAGACTGCATGAGCGGAAATGGACGGACGAAAAATTACAAAATGACACCAAAACATAAGTATTTTGTGTCTGGAGAGAGTGCCGTAAAGGAGCTTTGAGGGTGGCCCTTCGTTTGAAATATCTGTTGTAAATCCAACTTGACGCCCCGGCAGAAAGTGAACTTAAGCTCACCACAGTTAGTGTTCTCAAGTATATTTTTGCACTTCACCAAGCATTCCATATAATTTTAAATGAAGAGTCAACAATCAGTAACAATTCAGTAAAGTGTCGGTATATCCTAGTTTTCGCTTATGTCAGTACCAGTATGCACTTCAAATTGACAGCGCTATCTGTATCTTGGGTGCCCTTCAAGCAAATGGAATCCAATTCTCAGATTTTAACCCACGCATTTCTTCTTGTCAGTCATAGCAACGTTATTCTGGTAAATGAATAACGTTCCGTTTGGAACAAAGAGATGAAATGAAAGTATTCAAAAGAAAGATAGATACAGAAAGAGAGAAAGAGAGTTTTTGAGATGTTTTTTCGTTTTGTCCAAATTGTGGGTCAAAGATAACATTCTGCGGTTCCACGTTGGGATTCTGCACTCTGACCGGCGCTCTACCACTGAGCCCCTGAGACTCACGGTCAGCTAATCTTCATAGGACATGCGTTCTGTTTACCGTTAGGATCAGTTGTGTCGAAAGCGTTATATATATGCGAACATGATAGAGTAAGAAAGTTGGTAACTTTTGAGCTTGAGTGTTCTAAAATTCTTTTACTAACAGCCTTAAAACGATTACTTAACTATTACAAGATGCCCCTTTCTGAAAAGCCCAGAAATTTGTTCTTCAACTAGTGGTAGTTTTATAAACCTGTGTTAGACTACCTGCAAGCATAAAAGATCAAAAAAGTGTGTGGTGGGGCAAAAACGACTCGCTACCTTGCAAATTGCCTCCCCTAAGCTTTCAAGTCAACACCGTTGACCAGTTAGTCGGCAGTTGTTGGGTACGCACATAGTTAAACTAATGTTGTTGGTGTTATTGTTGACCAAAAAAAATTAACTTCCCAATATGAGTTCACCGTTCTTTCATTGTCTTCGGGGTATAACTTCTATTTACGTAAAAACAACAAAAGCCCAGGAAAGGAAGTACGTTAGCTTTCAACAGACACCTATTTTGCTCACTTTTCATCTTTTTAAGTCTTTGCCAGCCTTGTAATAACCAGTAGAAGTCTTGGTTTATACTCCCATTAGTTCCCTTGTTTAGGTAGTCCAAGTAGAAATTTTCTGTGATATCTTTCTATGCAATGCGCTGTAATGTCGAGTCATACTGCGTCGTAAAATTTCTCACCAAGCAATGTCAAAATGTTACGTCATGTCATGGCATACATATTACGGAAATTCAAGTGGCATCTTAGCGTGGTTCACTCGGTGCAGTGTTTGGCAAACCCATTTTGGGTAAACAATTGATGATTGGAAACTTTTTATATGAGTGTACGGTGTAATGATCGGCGCTATTTCTACAATGTGGTACACATGCAGCTAGAGGTAGTGTGTAGAGTCGCTCATGTTTGAATACTTTTGTGATTTCGCTCATTAAACTACGTTCACCCAGCTCCATTAGCTCCATCAGCTCCATCACAGTCTCGGGTGATGATTATTACAGACCGCATTCTATTTATGACTTAATTCTTGAAGACATGTTCACTCCCTTGGTCGCACTCACCATGTTGTCTTTCTTCGTGCTCCCTTCTCGTTGCATCACACTGTAGGCTATCGTACCTGCCATGGCAAGCTCAACGAGGCGAAATCCCGATTGAAATGCTAGCCAGGGCCAAGGAGAAGGATGGACCACTTTGCTGTACAAACCGTAGACGCCCACCATGGAATAGCTATTCAATGCGCAAACAGCAATTCCCAGGACACTCGTGCAAATGGTTATCCTAGCCACTTTGGTCGTGCCAGATTTAACTTTCTTGTTCCGCAGTTGCTCGTTTTTCTCGATAGAATTCAGCTGCTCGTGAACGTTTTCCACCCGCCTGATAACCTTGCATCCACTGTAGATGAAGCTACCAGAAAGCAGTAAGCCCCAGAGAATGAAGAAAGACTGACACACTATCAACAGGGGGTCCAGTTCTGGCTTCATGGAGGCGGAGGTCTCTGCAACCAAGACAATGATGAAGTGGATTACAATGATAACAGAAATGAATTTCACATTCTGCAGCTTGCTTGGACCGACCTTCAGCTTCGTGACCTCGAGAAAAGCCAGATGAATCAAACAAAACGAAGAAGTTAAACAAGGAAAAGCGATTCCAAAGAGAAGCAGTGTGATCCACTGTGGATCTTGCACGCCATTTTCTCTGGATTCGTAAGGATCTAACAACAGATACACGGATCTGGTTACTCCGAGCACAAGCAGCATCACATTTATAGCCACAAACAATGGCTTGCGAGCGAATCCTTTCCTATGCTTCACCATCACTATGGCAACAAAGGAATGAACGGCCAGCAAGCCAAACAGGATCCCTAACCCAACCCAGTGTAGCTCCCATGCTAATCCCCAAATTTCCTTTGCAACTGGCCAATCAGGACCCGGTTCTGCTACGGCCGCAGTTGTCGGCTGTTCCACAGATTTACTTGCAGAATTCGTCATTGGGGATGAAGCTCTGCAAATCAAACATAAGGATGCTTATTTCTTCGATGTCTATTTCTATCGCCGCGTGTGAAGCACGTTTCTAAATTGTTTTTTTTTCCTGTGGATGAATTTACCTTCGATGGTATTTTCATCATGTTAATTTACGTCATGAGATGACCGATAAAACTTGATCTAATTATCCGCTATTATCAACCACACTATAACTTCTTATTTAACCGTAGTTAAAATTTATCAGTTAGAAAGACAATGTTGCTATGAGTTTTCAAATTATTCGTAAACAAAACCAAAACACATAAAGAAGAACGAGAAACGAGTTTAATATAAACTAAAAGCGACTCTCATGGAAAATGGACGAATGTAAATAAATTTTCAAATGCTGGCCTGTATTATTTGGATAAAGAAAAAGTTACACTAAATGGGACGTAACGATAAAATGATAATTGCTAACTTAAGAAACCGCCCAAAACCTTATCTTTCTCACCTCCTTGTTCAATACTGTTTTTTGTTCGACTTGAACGCTTTCGAAAGGTCCTCCTCATCAACAACTGATTAAAACAGTGTCTAAGGGCAATATTTATTTGCCAAAAAGGATGACGTCGCGGGGGAATACGCTCACTGTAATTTAGAGCTTGGATGGACATTTTCATTGGTGCACACGAGAAAAATGACCGTCGCGTAACGGAAATCACTGATGATGGAAACTTAATTATAACACAACAGGCGTCTTATATGATTGACGTTTCATGCCCTTCGCCAAAACTAAATTTAGCGTGTGGGTTTGCATTTTGAAAACAAATTTAAAATTACTTTGTAGAATGCAGCCCGAGAGATATCAATGCCTTTCAAATTCATGTTCCTAAAAGTTAAGAAACTTGTACCGAGATGAGCAGCACTGATACTTTCTCTTTCCCACTTGTTCACTTTGTTTGCATAGAACTGAGATAAGCTTATACATCACACGCACCTGACCTATTACTTATGTCGTCATGTTTTTAATTGTCGCTCTCAGCTTCAAACTCTTAAAAAATATATGAAAATAAAAAGAGCGCCTGCATATAATTTTAAACTAACGACTCAGTAAATATATATTATCCTCACAAAAGTTTGAACTAATACGCACTCACCCGTGAACATCAGCAACATAATTTTAACTTCTTAAACGATAACCTTTTTTCTAGTTGCAAGAATAATATGACCCATTTTCAATTCAATACTACAGCTCTAGTTCCGCAAGAAGACTCTCGCGGCAAATTTCTGCATTTGAGATTATCTTCTTTATGTTCAGATCTTACTCTGGAAATGATTACTTAACGGGACATTAACGAACCTTACGTAGATTTCTAAAGTTGTACTGCAATTTTCGGAGTCATTTTTTAGTCGTTCTGTCCTTAAGGGTGGCTGTCAACAATGTCAACCGAACACCGTATGAGTTTCAACCATCTTAAACACCTTATTACTTCATAAAATAAATCAACCTACGCTTAGGCTGTCAATAAAATGTACCAAAAGCTCTGAACAACAAATCCCAAGTTCACTCTTATACCTCAAGCACAAGTTTTATTCACAACAAAATTTAAATAAAGGGTGTGATTTAAATTCGAAAAAAAAAATTCAAATGTGATACACTTTCATTTTGCTCTATTCTTTGGCTGCACTTGTACGTGAGCTGCACTTTATGAAAACCTTTGAATAATTGATGTTTGAAAACTGAGAACAGGTTGGTGTATTACTAATTAAAAAGAGATATAAATCTAGTAAGTAAACTCATCTGTTATTTTTATCCTTAGGGAAAACATTTTTGAACGGAGAAATATGACATCTAAAACGGGGAAAGTCCCGTGATAGCTATCCTGAAAAAACTGCGTGGAAACGAAGCAGGGCTCATAAAAAACTTTGAAATTAGTTAAACAACCACTTGCAAAGACCCCAGGACACTGTTCAGCAGAGTTTGAGAATTAAAAATTAAATCGATTAAGAATTGAATGAGTATGGGCTGTCCATCAGTCGAAGGAAAGTGTCTTGATGAGATTAAGGTGCACCGCATTAGATAATGAATTAAGACGAATAAACTATTAAAATTTTTATCAGATATCGATCTGTTAAATCCTTTTTCTGATAATTCTCATGAAGTATGCTTCATTCTTCGACTAGTACCAGTGAAAACCAGGAATCGTTTTCAGATTCAGATCCATAATGATTTAGAACAAAACCGTTTGTGAAAAAAATATTTCTAATTTTTACAGATTTTTCTTATGACCTAGTATTCCGCAAAACAACCTTTAGATTAACTAACCAATATAGAGATACTAAAAAAGCATTAAATATAGTAACCGACAAATTATTTTGTTTTCAGACGATTAGAATTAGCTGCCACCCATGTATATAATTAGCTGCCACCCGTAATATTGCATATTGCATGCAGGCTGTCGTCAGAGAGGAAAACGAAAAAAATGCGAAAAATACTGCTGCTGAGATTAAGTGAGACCTCTCGCACTCGTTTTTTGATCAAACATGTTTACAATGGTCTGGTTGCTTTTCTATGCAGGACGATGTTCCGCGAGTTTCACCCGTACAGACTTTGTCACCAAGCAGTCTGTTCTGTTCAAAGACCTGCTCCCGACGATGCGCTACTGGCGTGCCTTACCTTTCAGAATGTGTTTGGCCTAGATAAGGCGTTAAAAAAAAAGTTTGAAATTATTCAGTTCAGTAGGTTGAACGAAGTTCGGCTGGGCTCCTTAGTATTGAGGTGGTACGATTGGTTTCAATCGGCGTTGCGAGCCGAACGGAGAGCATGATTATCATATCCTTTACTAAGTAAGAAATGAGAGGAAAATTTGATTGCAACTAGATTATCGAGGTTTGTAGTCACTGCCCTGCTGAAGTCAGGACCAAATTCATTTCAGTTCGGTTTTTGGGTATCACGGCGTAATAGAGCGAGAAATAAACAGATGGATTTAGGTTAGAACAAGCTATAAAAAGATATGACCGATACACACACAGGTTTTCGTGCGATAGAATATTTCCTTATTGTTAATCTAAGTTTGGAATGTGCACTACTAAGCACACTAAAGAGGGCTCTAAAACCCTGAGGATTTCACGCCGCAAAAAAAGAATAGATCATAATTTAAATAAGTCCTCTTTGAAGACTTTAAATTGGTAGATCAATAAGACTGCTGAAGTTGTAATTTCGTTGAGTTTTGTGTGAGTGAGATTTTGGAATTTGTACTCACCAACACGGCATACAAAATCGTCTTCTTGAGACTCCTCTGCTCAACTGCTGCCGATACGACAGTTGCTGAAATCTTTACTGAATATCCGACTGTTTCGTTGTATAAATTTGGTCAATTTTGAAACGCTTTAAACAGTTTTATTGATCAATTACAGCTGCTGCTACTATATGACGACTATTTTTGGTGAGATGAAGCAATCATTCGTGTTAATCAGATCGGCGCGGCCGGAGTATAGTGACACATTTATGGACCCACGATTGTGATGAGTGAGCAACCTTCCTTAAATATCCAGAATTTATTTCAAGCAAAATCGCTGTTCAAATTAACTTGAATAACATGATAAGAAAAGTGGCCAAAGATAATCAATTCATTATATGACAAGAAAATGCCAACGTGTCGTCAAAACCCACGCGTACAAATGTAAACTTGTCTTCGTCACAATGATATCTGATAAATCATACTTATATAAACTTGGCTTATCGCTGCAAACTTGTCAAAAAAGGCTTATACACTTAGCATACTTTTTTCGGAGATACTGATCTAAATCTGAACTGGGATTTAACACGCAAAGCAAAGCCAAACTTTCAGGCTCTGCCCATTTCAACACATGCCTCTTGGCTTAAAGATCATCCAAATGGAAGATATCCAACGTTAATCTTTCAATTTCACTATAAGATGCTAGCTTCTTAAATGAGTTCATCCTAGGCTTCTCGCCTAGTCTAAATTGCGTTTCAAAGCTGATGTGATCTAATTCTGCATCGTAAACTTCTTTGCGCTTTTGCTCTCACTGAGTAGATCAGAATCGGTCATAGCAAAATTGCTTCTTTCATTTTTTCCCGCACTTAATAACATTTGGCCTATTTTTGATACAGAGCACTAAACACGATGTACGTTTTAACTTATAAAATCTTCCCAATGTAACTTAAAGAAATCATGTTAGGTTATACTGATCATATTGATTGATAAAACTTATCACAGTATTCAAGTTGGTTTCCTTAGGAAGAGATCGTTGATTCAAGGAACCAAATTCGGTGCGAAAAGAGAACCTTTTCTTATTCAAAAAGAAAAGAATCAACTTATAGAAAAGACCAAGAGAGCTCCAATATCTGATTTCCTCTGAACTTGGTATATGATACCTATCATGCAATCAATCTGTTTCTTCCGGCAGAAGCTTGTTCTTTGAGCGGCGTGGTCGTGAGCATCACTTGATTAGAACATGTCCGTCAACTTTCTGATATATCAGGAGATGAATTATCGAAACGAAGTAGAGAAGAGAGTTTGGATGAATGTTTTTAGATTCTTTTATGGCTCAGCTGCTCGACGATGAAAACTAAAAACGGGTGTAATTACTCGGTTTTACTCAAATGTCCTCTCTAAAGACCTCTATCCCATTGGTGATCCAATTTTTCAAAACAAAACAAAAAAACAATGGCGCGAGACATTTAATGAAATATTTCGCGCCACGCCAACCCAAATAGTGATAAAGCGAACGGATAATATCGTATTCCAATGTAACTATTTACTCTCGACGAAGGCAGCAACTACATGCTTCCATGAATTTGCAAATGATATTTCATTTCGACTTATAAATTGAAATTGTGTTGTTGTTTTTTTTTTGCATTAAATATTTCAATTAGGCGAGCCATTTCAAAGTGCGGCGTTACTTACCAGTGAAACCAACTCTTTCTTGAAAACCGCGTTTCTGAATGGACACTGTGTGATAACTTATATTACTGATCCATCCCGCTGGTTGCGGGGAAAGATAAATAGTCATAAGGATAACTATTGTATTATTTATTATCTGACAATCTCAAGATTGTTGGGACGCGTGCAATTGAAAATTTTTCTTGCAAGGTCAATTCAGTGCGTCAGGGTTAAAGCGATCCCGTTGGATAACACTCGAAACGATGGATTTATCCTAGTCGAAGGTTCACTTTGGTGTGTTCTTTTGCCAAGCGGGGTGAAAAAACATAGACGCCACGCAAGTTTGAAAAAGGATTTGAAAGACTGCACAAAGGAAACTAATGACACCATTAGGAGGAAAATGTCAAAACAGAAGGCTTTCTGATTAATATAAAATGGCCTGTCGTTGAAATTACAGAGACTTTAAGATATTAAATGGTAAGAATAACGTTGCCAGGAAATGACTGACACGAAGCTTTTAGAGAAGCTTAACACTACAATTAAGATATAGAAACGACTTTTTAACGGCTACAAATGAGAGAGAAGCAATCTATGGCAGCTTAATATCATCACCGTATGGCTGTCGATAAACTTGGTTGAGACGTGACAGCAAATAACGTACATTTATTAGTTTTAATTTGCATATCTTTTAATTTCTGCAGTCGTGTTTCCAATTGAAGAAATTGATGTCAAAAAATTTCTGTCAATAAACTTATTATTATTAATAATTAGTTAAAACATAACTGAAAATACACGTCCAAATGCAAATTGTTCGCCATTTAATAACTTCTCTACTTTTAAAAGAAAATTTATTGAAGGGTTGTTAAATTGTAACGACTGACCATTAATTTGCAGACTACATTAGGAAAATAAAGGGCGGAGAGTCAGGAAAAGGATTTGAATTGATATTCACTGATCGTCGAGCGGACAGTGAAAAGACAGAGGGTTATTTTACACCCGCATTTTTTTCCCTCTTAAAAATGGATCTAAAATCGAACACGTTTTGAGCGGAACCGTATTAAGCGATCGGTTGTCAAAGTCCCGAAAAGTTTTTCCCTAGCTTTAAATTTCTGTAATTTTCAAAGCCGATCGAGTTTTTGAACGTGAAGACAAATCAATCATACGTCACCTCTATTGAGCCTTTATTACTGAAAAAAGCTTTCAAGTATTCAAGTCTCGTCAGCACCTTTTCCATGTCTCATTGGTTATAATTCAGATGAGGCTGGAATCCAGGGAATGTGTATAATTGCCACCGACTCAGAACGAAGAGGAACCGAAACCAAATAGGAAAAACCAGTGACCGCATGGGATACCAAATCCGAAAACCGTTAGCGTTTTTGACGAAAACCGAAAACCGAATGCTTATAAAACGGAAAATCCGCAAATCGTAATTGACACCAAAACCGAAAAAACGAAGTTTTTTGGCACAATAACCGAAAAACCGATCTAAAATGATTCGATGCCTGAATTCATCGACCACCGACAGTGATTACGAGAACAAGGATAAATGTTTATCAAAAGAAAGCATGATAAGTTCATCCTTCGGCTAACTTCACGGAATGCCACAGGGGAGATGAAACTTGCACCTGACAAATTCACAACACTTTTTTACATAACTGTGATAAGTCCACAGTGCAATTTTCTTCTTTGTATCTTTTATATCACTGAGGTGCAGTACTTATATTGAAACCGCTAAAAACTTGCAACGGACAAATTCACAACTCTTGCTTAATAATTCCACAACGCAATTTTCTTGTTTGTATCTTCTATATTAGGAGTAGCACCTATATTAAAGCTGCTAAAAACTTGCACCTGACAAATTTACAACACCTGCTTACATAACCGTAATAAGTCCACAACGCAATTATTTTTTGTATCTTTCATATTCGGCGTAGCACCTATATTAAAAGCTGTCAGAATTAATTACAGTTTACCTTGCAATGTTCCTAGAAAATTATTTGTTGAACCTTACGGTGCTTAATTTTGGGATCTCTGCAATACATCAGTAGATTCATATAGTCTGATTATTAAAACAAAGTTTAGCCCTTGTTGAGCAAAACTGCGTACTAAATATTCCTCACTTAAGCTGAACTTTTCATCCGAGCATTTATTTTTGTGAACAGTGTCAAGAAGGCCGAAAGTGGAAGGACATTTTTATAATTGATTCAACCTTTTTAAAGAGGAAGCCTAAGACCCAATGATTGCGTAAAACCGTGGTTTAGGTTAGACCTTGAGTAAATAAACGACCCATGTAGCTATTTTCTCCATTCGCCGGTTAGGCAAGATAAACCAGATAAATTTACCTTATCGCTATTAGTATCACCGAGATTAACGATTAACACTATTACATTTTTGGGTAGTTTACTTTTTTTTGCACAGATGAACTTACCACCAAAATTCTCTCCTCACAGGAACTTAACAACAATTTTCGTGGGGGACTCTCGACTTCTGAAACAAAGCTTCCCTTTACAAAAGATCTATTTACATTTGAGTAACAAAGAGACTTAATGACTGGTATTCCAGGATAATCCTGAGGTCTTTGTTAATATTAGTTTCCATTAAGGTGTCCGAAAATCGATTGGTTCAAGAAGAATTATTACAGCTTGAAGCGCAGCGTGCCAGCCATTCATTGTTAGCTTTGTGAATAGAAGTCCAAGATATATTTTATTTTGGCGAGCTTGACAGGAAATTAAGTTTAGAATTAAACAACTTCTCGATGTGAAAAAAAAGATATTATGATATATTTCCCACTTGAACAACTTAGTGTCAACGACTAACAAACTAGATGAAAAGGTTAAAAAGATTTCCGTGCCGACCGGTGTAAAAATGCTGACACTAACAAGCTAGACCATTGCGCAATGGTTCATTTTAAGGTCCTTCACTCGATTTCGTGATGGATAATTAAAGCTTACCAATAAAAAAAATAGAAAGATTCAGTTGATTTGCATGAGAATAACCATTAGTGAAAACGAATTTATCGTTTATACCATGCAACTTTTCAGATCGCAAATGCACGCCAGGTCACTTCCGTAATTTAAAACTTCGCTTTTCTCACCATTTTGCTATCCTGTTATCCTAACCCTTTCGATATAAATTTACCTCGTCGGTAGGGAGCTAACAAGCGCGACAATACTTTACTCTTATGACTGATCGGTTTTACTAAAAGGGTTTACTTGAATTCTATCAATTTGACCGTCAACAGAAATCTATTGGAAGTCAGTCTTTCTTTACGTAAGACTCACTAAGTGATTGTGTTCAAAAAGGCCGGCAACCGGTTCGAATCTTTCTTTCTTTTACACCAGCCACACTTCACAAGCAACCTCGTTCCCAGGACCTTTTCTGTTAGTTGGGGGTGGGCCACCCCCAATAAGGGAAAAGGCCCTGGGAACGAAGTCGACCTCACTACGAGTATCATGATCATACATGCGCTAGTATCTTTCTGACATCCTACTATATCTACGAGAGAGCCCGAAGCCATCTTCTTAGATATTCTATATTCCTGAGGCCTAATAAGACCAATATAGTTATCCATAGCA